TTGTTGCGCGGCTTCTTTTGTTGTTTGGTGCGACACTGGATGCCGTCAGCGCGTTCCGGGGGATACACACGGAGAGAAATGAGCACGAGAAAAGGAGAGAACGAGAGAGCGAACTTCGCCTCCGTCCTTTTTGATCTGGCCACTCAACCAAACTCTGACTCTACCTCCAATTTAACCCCCGCATTTAAAGAGTTCATTTCTTCGAGAATCCATCTGCCCGTGGCAAGTGTGTGTGTCTGGTTTTTTTTGTCCCATCGCCAACTCATCACATCATCATTTCTACTTTCCGCTCCGTGTTGATACATCCTCATCATGGTGCAAACACCACCTTGGTCGAGATTACTATTATCAACAACAACAACTACAACACAAAAACAATTATAATTCGCAGCTATTTGTCAGTCCACTGCGGAATGAAGGCCTCACCTCTGCCCTCCGCGTCGGTCCTAGGGGGTGTTTGATCATACTTCACCGCACCGGTCGGCAATGCAGGCTGCTGAAGGTTCAGACACCGCTCGCAAACTACTTCGTCATCAGCGCCGTCATCAACCATGATCAATCCACTGCTGGATGAAGGCCTCACCTCTGCCCGCCGCGTCGGTCATGGAGGTTGCTTGACCATACCTTCACCGCACCGGTCGGCAGCTCTGGCTGATAAGGGTTCAGACACCGCTCGCAAACTACTTCATCATCATCGTCATCATCGTCAACCTTGATCAATCCACCGCTGGATGAAGGCCGAACCAAGCGGTCGCGCAATGCAACACTCGGCCTAATCTTCCGCACAGCGAGCTGAGCGCTCCCCTCGATTCCACGCGCGGCTCAACAGCGATGCCGCTCATTCGTCGGGGGAGATAAATAAATACCTCGCGAGGTTCGTTTTTGTTTGTTTTGCTCGTACGGACAATATGTCTCTTTCGCTTCCACGCCGCCGACTCACATTGACGCACGTGGTAAGGCGAACGTGGTGAAAAAATCCTAAAAAGTACCATTTAACACGACGACGACGACAACAACAATCATCATACCCTTTCACGAAAAGCACTGCCGTATTGGCTTCTTGTCACGCCCGTGATTTTTACCGGGGGGGGGGGGACCCGAGGGGTGAGAATTATTGCGCTGCCCAGGAAATATTGTCCACAGTTTCGGCCGTGGCCGGCCCATCATCATCACCATCTCGCCTGTGCCGTCCGCAGACGCTTTCGCTGCGACAAAAAAAAAAGAAACCGAGAAAAAAAGTTTCCTTACAAAACCTCCCGTCCCGCCGACCCACGAGGGAATGTTCACGTGAGGAACTCGCCGATGGCAGCGGCCCCGGGATCTGCTGTCGATCTTTGCTCGAACGACGGCGGGACGTGGTGGCGCGAGGTGTCACGCGCACACGAGCGTCGTTTGGGGCGCCACGGTGGCTAGGGAAGAGTCTCCACTGAGACATCCAGAGGGGAGAGAGTCTCGACTGAGACTATTTAAAACTATAAACGTCTCCACTGAGACACCCAGAGGGGAGAGACTCTCTACTAAGACACCCAGATGGGAGAGAGTCTCACTGAGACTATTTAAAACTATAAACGTCTCCACTGAGACACCCAGAGGGGAGAGAGTCTCCACTGAGACACCCAGAGGGGAGAGAGTCTCACTGAGACACCCAGAGGGGAGAGAGTCTCTACTGAGACACCCAGAGGGGAGAGAGTCTCACTGAGTCACCCAGAGGGGAGAGAGTCTCCACTGAGACACCCAGAGGGGAGAGAGTCTCACTGAGACACCCAGAGGGGAGAGAGTCTCACTGAGACACCCAGAGGGGAGAGAGTCTCCACTGAGACACCCAGAGGGGAGAGAGTCTCACTGAGACACCCAGAGGGGAGAGAGTCTCACTGAGACACCCAGAGGGGAGAGAGTCTCTACTGAGACACCCAGAGGGGAGAGAGTCTCACTGAGACACCCAGAGGGGAGAGAGTCTCACTGAGACACCCAGAGGGGAGAGAGTCTCACTGAGACACCCAGAGGGGAGAGAGTCTCACTGAGACACCCAGAGGGGAGAGAGTCTCCACTGAGACACCGAGAGGGGAGAGAGTCTCTACTGAGACACCCAGAGGGGAGAGAGTCTCTACTGAGACACCCAGAGGGGAGAGAGTCTCCACTGAGACACCCAGAGGGGAGAGAGTCTCACTGAGACACCCAGAGGGGAGAGAGTCTCACTGAGACACCCAGAGGGGAGGGAGTCTCTACTGAGACACCCAGAGGGGAGAGAGTCTCACATGACACCCAGAGGGGAGAGAGTCTCACTGAGTCACCCAGAGGGGAGAGAGTCTCCACTGAGTCACCCAGAGGGGAGAGAGTCTCATTGAGACACCCAGAGGGGAGAGAGTCTCTACTGAGACACCCAGAGGGGAGAGAGTCTCATTGAGACACCCAGAGGGGAGAGAGTCTCATTGAGACACCCAGAGGGGAGAGAGTCTCACTGAGACACCCAGAGGGGAGAGAGTCTCTACTGAGACACCCAGAAGGGAGAGAGTCTCATTGAGACACCCAGAGGGGAGAGAGTCTCACTGAGACACCCAGAGGGGAGAGAGTCTTATTGAGACACCCAGAGGGGAGAGAGTCTCATTGAGACACCCAGAGGGGAGAGAGTCTCACTAAGACACCCAGATGGGAGAGAGTCTCACTGAGACTATTTAAAACTATAAACGTCTCCACTGAGACACCCAGAGGGGAGAGAGTCTCCACTGAGTCACCCAGAGGGGAGAGAGTCTCCACTGAGACACCCAGAGGGGAGAGAGTCTCTACTGAGACACCCAGAGGGGAGAGAGTCACTACCGAAACACACAAAGGGGAGAGCACTTCACCTGAACCCACAAGGCAAATCACCACAATTACGAATAACCGACCAACGATGTCACTCATCTCTGAATAACCCAACGGGGCACCATGAGGACGAAGCTCCTCGACACGTTCCCTCGGAGGGTCGAGACCGCGCGCGGAGCACCCACGGATTTTTCTCCGGGTCCTCCGGTTTTCCCCGCCACTTTTAGAATCGACGCCACGCGTTCAGAGTGTTTGGCTGCGATACATTTCCACGCGACGACAACGCCGCTTGCTTGCGCTGTCATTTGTGATGGTCAGGTCGCTTCTGAGAAATAGCTCAGTGGGCCTTAGCTGGTAAAAAAAAATAATTTAAAATAACTTTCTTAGTTTTAAATAGCTATTCACGAATGCGTTGAGGTGTTATGCTTATTGTAACGTACGTGCGGCTGGCAGAGCAAAGTGTCATTTGCAGCGTGTTAAATGGCACGGACATCGACAACCCTCGACAAAGTTGAAGCTCCCTTAATGGACCGCGGTGCTGCCTGCTTGCATTCGGTAACGGTGCCATCTTGGCAGCGACAACACAATTGTCGACATCGTATGAGGGGTGAGTAGCAGAGGTCGCAATCGGGTACCCGATACCCGTACCCTACCCGATACCCGGCTACCCGTACCCGGCCGGGTACGGGTACGGGTACCCGTTTGCGACCCTGGTGCGGCCGGGTACGGGTAGGCCGTGAGTCACTGGTGAGTAGCCGTTTGTCACTCATTTCGGGTAGGGTACGGGTACGGGTAGGGAACGGGTACCCGTACCCGGGCCGGGTACCCGGGCCGGGTACGGGTCGTCGTTTGCGACCCTGGTGCGGCCGGGTACGGGTACGGGTAAGGAATCAAAACCCGTTTGCGACCTCTGGTGAGTAGTGCCCACGGGGGGCGGGGAGGGGGAATATCAGAATCACAGGTCAAAGGTTATAGGTTAAGGTCACGGCTTTTTCGGATTAAATATTTGGCCGCCAGCTCTTCAATCGACAAATAGGGGCGTGGGGGGGGGGGTTGAGGGGCGGGGTGGAGGGGCGGGGGAGGGAAAGAAAAACATTAATTTATTTCAGCCCCAACGTGACGGATTGACCCCACGCCTCTCGCCCAATTGGGAGTCTCCACGCTGACCTTGGCTGTCGCTTCTTATTGGCCCGTTAGTTTATTGGGAGTTTTTATTCGTGGTCAGCAGCGCGTGCTTGTTGTTCGTTGGTGTTGATATTTACGCCGCGCACAGCGGTAGCTCGTAAACAAATCGTAGTGGCGTGGTGGCTCAAGAGGGGAGAGAGTCTTACTGAGACACCCAGAGGGGAGAGAGTCTCACTGAGACACCCAGAGGGGAGAGAGTCTCACTGAGACACCCAGAGGGGAGAGAGACTCACTGAGTCGCCCAGAGGGGAGAGAGTCTCACTGAGTCGCCCAGAGGGGAGAGAGTCTCACTGAGACACCCAGAGGGGAGAGAGTCTCCACTGAGACACCCAGAGGGAAGAGAGTCTCACTGAGACACCCAGAGGGGAGAAAGACTCACTGAGACACCCAGAGGGGAGAGAGTCTCTACTGAGACACCCAGAGGGGAGAGAGACTCACTGAGACACCCAGAGGAGAGAGAGACCCACTGAGTCACCCAGAGGGGAGAGAGACTCACTGAGACACCCAGAGGGGAGAGAGTCTCCACTGAGACACCCAGAGGGGAGAGAGTCTCACTGAGACACCCAGAGGGGAGAGAGTCTCCACTGAGACACCCAGAGGGGAGAGAGTCTCCATTGAGACACCCAGAGGGGAGAGCGCTTCACCTGAACCTGCAATGCAATTCACCACAATTACGAAGAACCGACCAACGTTGTTACTCATCTCCGAATAACGCAACGGGGTGCCATGCGGACAACGCTCCTCGGCACGTTCCCTCGGAGGGTCGAGACCCACGGAGAGTCTCGCACGGAGAGAGTCACGCACGGAGAGTCACGCACGGAGAGTCACGCACGGAGAGTCACGCACGGAGAAAGTCACGCACGGAGAGTCACGCACGGAGAGAGTCACGCACAGAGAGTCACGCACGGAGAGTCACGCACGGAGAAAGTCACGCACGGAGAGTCACCGCACGGAGAGAGTCACGCACGGAGAAAGTCACGCACGGAGAGAGTCACGCACGGAGAGTCACTCACCGGCGTGCTGCTTGCGGACGCGGAGGCCATGCTGAGCGACGCGGAGAGTTTCTCCGACGTCGGTGATGGCGACTGAGAGGCGGGGGACCCCCCCAGGGCCCTACCCACCGTGGGCCCCCCCCAACGCTCACCCGTCCCTCCGGGGCCCCCCACGTCCCCCGCGTCGCCTCCTCCTCCTCCGCCGTCATCGTCTCCCGGCCAGGCGCGCTGGGTCCTGCGAGAGACACGGGGAAGAGACCGCGGCTCTCAGTCGCGACGCGGAGTGAGACGAGGGGTGAGCGCGCCCTGCACGTGCCGCTGGTGTGGGTGCCGGGTGTGCAGGCGGTGCAACTGCGCAAGGGGCTCAGGCGCCAGAGGGGCCCCGAAGAGGAGTTGGGGATAAGAGGACAGCGGGGGGCTCGTTTCAGTCCTTTGGGGCACCGCGGTGGCTAGGAGATGTTCACTGCCTCGCCTGGTATGCAGGAGGTCGTGGGTTCAATCCCGAGGCTGACGATGCCTGCTGTATATTTGGACTTTGCGTGTCTCTCTCATCACCATCACAGTGGCTAGGAGATGTTCATTGCCTCGCCTGGTATACAGGAGGTCGTGGGTTCGATCCTGACCCTGACGATGTCTGCTGTATATTTGGACTTTGTGTATCTCTCTCATCACCATCACGGTGGCTAGGAGATGTTAACTACCTCGCCTGGTGTACAGGAGGTCGTGGATTCGATCCTGACCCTGACGCCTGCTGTATAATTTGAAGTCTGTACATCTCACGTGGGTTTTTATGCGGGTCCGCCAGTTTTTTTTGCCCCCATATTTAAGATCAACATCGCGGGAGAGCGAGCGGGCGGGAGCGTGGAGCGAGAGGATTCAAAGGTCATTTCAAAAGTTCAAAGTTAATTTATTAGGTATGGCCCTGTGAGCCATTCGGCTCTTGAATCGGGTGCAACCGCAACAAACAAAAAACAAAAACATGAACAAGAAAACATCTTAAAGTGACTATGTGCAAACAGAAAATCAAAAAAAAGACAGCAAAATATTTCAGAAGGGAGCTGGAGAGTGGAGCAAAGTGGGAGAGCGAGCGGTAAAGTGGAACGAGTGCGAATGAGTAGGAGAGAGTGTAGCGAGAGAGCGAGCGGAGCGGGAGAAGTCGCGGTTGAGTGTAACGAGTGGGAGAGAGTGGAGCGAGCGGGAGAGAGAGGAGCGAGTAAGAGAGCGAGCGAGCGGGCGGGCGAGGCGGCGATGCCATCGCTCAGGGCGTCTATCGATGCGGTTGTCTTCCGCGCGCTGATGAATGCCGTGGCCACTCACGGCGTGCCCGTCCTTCGCTGCTGCTGCTGCTGCTGCCGCTGCAGCTGTGGACGTCGCCCGCCGCCGTTGTCATTCAGCGAGACGTCGCCGCTCCACCTGGCGCGGAGCGGACAGCTCTTGTTAGCCCCGGCGGGAGGGGGTGGAGGGGGGCAAAGGGCACGGGGGATGCACGCCGCGGTGTCTCGCGTCGCAGGGGAGCGGTGGCGGTGCGTGACGAGAGGATGTAGGCGCAGGCCCTGCAATCGCTGCCGGATTATCGTAGTAGCAACAACAACAACCGTCATACGCCACTAAGTGTCGGTGACGTCAACACGACGCTTATGCCAGGCTATGTGCACCTTGAGGCCAGTAGCACAAGTAGCTGCACGTGCTACAACAACGACAACCGCCATTCGCCACTAAGTGGCGGTAACGTCACAACGACGCTTGTGCCAGGCTATGTGCACCTTGAGGCCAGTAGCACGAGTAGCTTGCACGTGCTACGGGACTCCCGCGGTTTCGAGGGCCCCGCGCTAAATGCCTTCAAGCTATCAATTCCGGTTCAGTGGTTCTGCACTTGCTCTATTGCTATAGTACTATACCGCCTTAAACTTTTATGAACGACCGGGTGTTTAAGGTTAGCGATTTGTCATATTATGTGGCTGCATAGCAAATGAAAAAATACAATTACTTTACTGTGAAAGTAAAAATTTGATGTCTGTTTAATATTTACGTGTTTTATTTTGTTTATTTAGGGCCCCTTTTTAACATCCTGCTAGAGGCCTCGCACGAGCTTAATCTGGCACTGGAGTTAAGGGTCGTCACGTGAACAAAACGTGGCCAGTGCGTCACTCGTACAGCACACCGGTGCGTTGGAGGGTAAAGCAACAACACATTGAACGATCCGAGCACGACGTTTCGCCATTAATTCACCACCAGCATCATCAGGCGTCAGACAAGAGTTGTGGAGAAAATCCTCCCGTTTCCCTCCTTATATAGAGAGGGGGGTTAACATGACGTCATCACCCGTGAGCCAATCGGGTGCGAGAGGATCAAAAGGGGGCGAGGTGGCTTAATGTATGAATACTCTTAGTTCTTTCGGTAAAGTCACGTAGGTAAAAAATGAAATTAAAATTAATAAAAATAAAAACAATAAAATCATTTTTTACCTACGTTACTTTACCGAAAGAACTAAGAGTATGAATCCTTGCAGTCACGAAAGCTTCAAATCTAGAATTAGTGTATGAATGTTAATTGCAATGGGTATCCATTACCGGTTGGGTCATTCTCATGGCAATTAACAGACAGCATGTATGCACACCATTCATGTACACGTGCACACCATGCATGTACACATGTACATCCTGCCGGGTTTTTTTTTTTTGGGGGGGGGGGGGAGGCGGAGGGGGTGCAATATATCTCAGCACCAGCGATGAACTGTGAGCAACATTTGGTGTTCGTAGTCCGACGCGTGTTCGACTCCACGTGCGGCTGTCTCTCGTCGTCGTTTCGTTTTGTTTTGCACGGAAGAAGGGAAGGCCGGTGGAAAGCAACGTGAATATTTTTGGGGGGGAATTGTTGTTGTTTTTTAAAATCTATGTAAAGTTGACACATTTCCCAGCACTGTCTGGAGGAGTGGTGGGTGCGCTTGGAGGGGGGGGGGGGAGATGTTGAGATTTGAGAGTGCTCAGCTGTTCCCGAAAGATCGAGAGCCATTGCCGCAATTGATCGTAAATTGTCCTTAAAAACTCCGAAAAACGCAAACGTATAAAATCCACAACTCACTGCTCGTGCATTTATTTGCGTGTGTGGTTTGCACGCAGCGCTACGAACCCTGCGACCCACCGTTTTATTCACGTTCATCATCGCCGTGACGGCGAATATCTGAAATGGTACTGGGCCGCCCCTACGTCGACTCAGCCTTAAATGAATACCTTGCACGGTGTCTAAACATCAGCACCAGGGATGGCCGGCCTTCATAGGTGCTCGCTAACAGCATTAGCCCCCAACAGTCTGTTACAGGCCACGCGGGGGATCTTTGTCTCCGTTTATATAGAAAGAAATTTTTAAAAACCTAAGTTTATTGTTACGTATGACCCCGGAAAAGCTGGTTGATTGGAAAAAAGTATTGATTCTCGTCGCTATGAAACATGGCGAAGGCGTCAACGTGTATTGACCATGGGCGAACTCTGTGTTTGACCCTGTGGACAATGTCAAACTTTATAATTATATAATTAGACCAATAAAGCCACTCCCGCCCCCCAAAATAAGGACAATTAAAGAAGCATAGCCATTGGCCACAATGGTAGTACGTGTGTCATGTATTGTGGTGAAAAGGGGGGTGTGTTATTGACAGTGTTAATGACATGTTACTTGTGCTGGCGATATTTCTGTAAGGGTCAAACTTGTGTGGGTCGAGTGTTGTCTGTGCGACAGCTGATCGAGGGCATCTGGCAGAAGGAAGGGAGCGATAGCAGCATCATTGTGTTTGTGTGTGCGAGCGTGTGTGTGTGTGTGCTGCTCACTAACAGCACTTGCCCCAACAGTCTGTTACAGGCTACACGGGGAGGCTTAGCGGTAGTGCAGTGGTTCTATTCCCGCTCACGGCCACCACCGGTGACGATTATTTGAACCGGTACTGGGCCTCCCCTAGGTCGACTCAGCCTCAAATGAGTACCTGGTGCGGTGTGTAAACATCGCCACTGGGGAGACACAGGCGGCCGGGCGTGGTGCTGGCCACCCACCTCCTCGTGTTGCCGTGCCAGCTTCCATAGGTGCTGCTCGCTAACAGCACTTGCCCCTGCAGTATGTTAAGGCTACACGGGGGGTCTTTGTCTTTGATTGTGGCTGTTAGAGCGCGAACGAGTGCGTGAACGAGTGCGTGAACGACAGCACAAGAGGATTCGAGGAGTACCGCACGGGCAGGCGTGCGGTACGATCCATCTGTGCGGCGGCTGCTGGGAGGAAGAAGGCGGAGGGTGTCGACGAACTCGGGTGATGCTCGACTCGCGCGGTTGGTCCGTCCGTGCCCGCCTCCTCGCGTCTTCCCGTGCGTCTGATGCTCTCACCTGGACGGCGTGAGTGGGACACGTGGGGGAGGGGGGGAGGGGGGGACAGGGGGTGGGGGGTGAGAGGGGGGGAGGAAGAGCACACAGTCTGAGAGAAGGCCACCACGGGTCACGACAGACGGACAGGCAGGCGGCGATGCAGACAGACACGAGGATGGAGAGACGTGTGGACGTGTTCGCTGTGGTCCGGTGGTTCTTAACCCGCGGTGCGCGTACCCCCCAGGGAGGGGGGGTGGTGGGAGATGCCCCTTGCTGAGAACCCGAAGGGGTGCAAGGCTGAAAGGTCAAGAGCCACTCGGTTGTTGATGGAATTGGCCAAACACCAATGCAGGATCCTTCCTTCCGACATCAGGGAGCCACTGTGTGCGACGCACATTTGAATGTAGATTGAACACGAATTACTTTAGAACTGCTTGCTGTGTATATAGTTCGTTGTTCACCCCCCAGAACCTCTGATTAAGCGTCGTTGGCTACGTACGGCGCGAAAGAAGTTCAACGTAGGTACATAAAATCCCTCCTTAGCTGGAGTCTTCAGACGACTCAGTGAGGCTTTCCAGGATATATATATAAACATCTATCGTTTATATATATATTTCTTTTATCATGATTAAGCAAAATTGTGATCCAGGAAGGCTCGTAGGCTATCGGACTGATAATTGTGTTTCTCCGTGTTGGCAAAACAGACCTCTCTGTCTTTGTTGTTATTATTGTTGTTGTTGTTATATTGTCCACGATAAGAAAATTGCTCCGACGTTAAATTTGCTGGCCTACATAGGCAGCCATCATCTCGCGTTAATGTGTAGCGCGCCGCTAAGTTATAGTCCAGCATAAAAGCCACAGCAGCGATCGAGATTTCGTAATTAAATCCAATATTTATGGCATTTAAGTATCAAAGTATTTTATTAACTTTGGACCAACGGAATGTAATTCTTCTGGCGGAGACAAGGGGGGGAGAATGCGCGGTCCCTATATTGCTGTTTACAAAATATACTTATTGGAATTTTTGGTTTGCGGTTATTATTTCGCTGATATCATGAACTTTGATTTGCTTATTTTTGGCTGAAAAAAACGACCCGAACAAAAGGCGATAAATGTGTTCCACGACGAAGCTGACAATAATTATATCACGTGGGTGATTTTGGTGGCTTGGCTTGCATAGCCAAAACAAGTGGCAATGTGCTCTCACATGCCAAAGACAAAGATCCCCCGTATAGCCTTATCAGACTGTTGGGGCAAGTGCTGTTAGCGAGCAGCATCCTTTGACGGCCGAAACGGCACACGAGGGAATGGGTGGCCAACACCACGCCCGGCCGCCTTTGTCTCCCTAGTGGCGATGTTTACGCACCGCACCAGGTACTCATTTGAAACTGAGTCAGATCTTAGGACCGGTTCAGATAATCGTCGCTGGTGGTGTTGGCCGTGAGCGGGAATCGAACCCGGGTCGCCAGGTTCGTAGCGTAGCACGCTAACCGCTACACTACCGCTCCCCACTCTTACACACACACACTCTAACACATACGCACACACTCACACACTCTCTCACACACTCTCTAACACATACGCACAATCTCACACACTCTCTCACACACACACTAACACATACGCACACTCTCACACACTCTCACACACACACTAACACATACGCACGCTCTTACATACTCTCTTACACACACTCTAACACATACGCACAATCTCACACACTCTCTCACACACACTCTAACACATACGCACACACTCACACACCCTCTCACACACACTCTAACACATACGCACACTCTCACACACTCTCACACACACACACTAACACATACGCACGCTCTCACACACTCTCTCACACACACTCTAACACATACGCACACTCTCACACACTCTAACACATACGCACACACTCACACACTCACACGTACGCACGCGTGTGTGTCTGGATGCCGCCGACCCTGACGCCTGTTGTAAATTTGAAATTTGCATGTCTCTCTCTCTCCCCGTGGTCGCGTGGATTTTCCTCCGTGTTTTCTCTCCACATTTAGAATCAACATCACGCGTTTAATTGGGCTGCTGATATAAATGTCCACGTGATAAGCCCACTTCGTTGAGGTATCATTTATGGTGGCCAGGTCGCTCCTGCAATATAGCCACACAGGTAAGATAGAGAGACGCGAACCCACGACTTCCCGTATACCAGGCGAGGTAGTTAACACCTCCTAGCCACAGCGCTAAGGGCAAGGCTATCTGTATGCATCGTCGGTTGTTGTCCTTGCACTAAAACTCAGGCAAACTTGGGAACAAGTTTTAGAACTTAATTATAGACAAAGTGATCGGGTGAAAATAAAAAATAAAACGTTGCTTCACGTTTCGCGCGAGATCTGTATTTATTACCTGGTGAGGACATTAACACAGGGCACGTTTTCTCGTTCGTAATTTGGGCAAAGTTGTAAATTCCTTTTTTTTACAGCCGGCACGTACAACAGCGCCTGTCAATCCGCTGACACAATGTCGTGTGTGTGTGTGAAAAACAATGCCAGACTAAAGTTTTTAATACTCACGGAGTGGGGAGCGGTGGTGTAGCGGTTAGCGCTACGAACCCCGCGACACGAGTTCGATTCCCGCTCGCGGCCAACACCGATTATCCGAACTGGTTATGGGCCTCCCTTAGGTCGACTCAGCCTCAAATGAGAACCTGGTGCTGTGTATTTTAAGTTTGCGTGTCTCCGTCTCTCTCTTTTACCGTTGTCGCCTTGGATTTTTTTTTTATCCGGGTCCTCCGGTTTTGCCCTCCACGTTTAAAAACACGCATTGAGATTATTGAGATAATTTTGGTGCTATACGTGTCCAAATGACGGGCCACTTTGTTGAGCTATCGCTTGTGGCCAGATCGCTTCTGAAAAATAAGTTCATACCTCAGTGGGGCTTTGCTTGGTCGGATGAGGATTAAATTTCGAATTAAAGCTTTCGTGACTGCAGGGATTCATCTTCTTGGTTCTTTCGGTAAAGTCACGTAGAAGGGAAATAATAAAATAATAAAAATAAAACATAATAAAATAAAATAAATATTTTATGATATTATATTATTTAATTGTTTTATATTTTTTAATTGTATTATTTCCCTTCTACGTGACTTTACCGAAAGATTTCGATTTAAAGCTTTCGTGACTGCAGGGATTCATCTTCTTGGTTCTTTCGGTAAAGTCACGTAGAAGGGAAATAATAAAATAATAAAAATAAAACATAATAAAATAAAATAAATATTTTATGATATTATATTATTTAATTGTTTTATATTTTTTAATTGTATTATTTCCCTTCTACGTGACTTTACCGAAAGATTTCGATTTAAAGCTTTCGTGACTGCAGAGATTCATCTTCTTGGTTTTTTCGGTAAAGACACGTAGAAGGGAAGTAATAAAATAATAAAAATAAAACATAATAAAATAATTCTCACGACGTCTGCTTGCGTTGTAGCCGAAACGTCGTGAGAATTATTTTATTATGTTTTATTTTTATTATTTTATTATTTCCCTTCTACGTGACTTTACCGAAAGAACCAAGAAGAGGATGAGGATTGTCTAGTTCTATTTGTATGTGTCTGGGTGATTTTTTTTTACCTTTCTTGTACTGTGCACTCCTGTCCTGTTTCTGTACTGTTTGTTGTTGTGACGTCCTCACCCCGTGCCCCTACTGGACATCTGTGAAAAAGAGCTTCATAGCTCATCGGATTCCTCCAGTGTGAATAAAGATTCTGATTCTGAGAGGGTTTCAGCAGAGAGAGAGAGGTCGTGTCGGCATGCTGTTCCTACTCCTCCTCCGTCGAAGGAGTGCACGACTGAAGTTGTTTCGTCCAGAGTCGGGGTTGCACGACCCATGGGTTTAGTTTGTGATGGACCGCAGTTGCGAGCGGCGGGGGGGGGGCACGTGGCGGGATGGTGGCTGGCGAGGACGATGATGACGACGACGATGATGAATGCTGGATGTCGGGCACCGGGGAACACTCCTGAGTAGAGCAAAAAAAAAAACCGGAGTCGAGGGTGGAGGAAGGAAGAGGAAAGACCTCGGGGCATTGGGGCGGTGGGGAACTCTCCATCAGTCTTCCAAACGGAGGTCACGTCTGCGCCAAGCGCGTCATGTCTGATTAATAAATCCCGTGGGGGGAGGGGTGGAGGGGGCACCAACCCCCCCACCCACCCAGCCACCCACTCGTACCACACCCACCCAGCCACCCACTCATACCACATCCAGCCACCCACTCATACCCCCCACCCAGCTACCCACCCAGCCACCCACTCGTACCACACCCACCCAGCCACCCACTCATACCACATCCAGCCACCCACTCATACCCCCCACCCAGCTACCCACCCAGCCACCCACTCGTACCACACCCACCCAGCCACCCACTCATACCACATCCAGCCACCCACTCATACCCCCCACCCAGCTACCCACCCAGCCACCCACTCGTACCACACCCACCCAGCCACCCACTCGTACCACACCTACCCAGCCACCCACCCAGCCACCCACTCGTACCACACCTACCCAGCCACCCACTCGTACCACACCTACCCAGCCACCCACCCAGCCACCCACTCGTACCACACCTACCCAGCCACCCACTCGTACCACACCTACCCAGCCACCCACCCAGCCACCCACTCGTACCACACCTACCCAGCCACCCACCCAGCCACCCACTCGTACCACACCTACCCAGCCACCCACTCGTACCACACCTACCCAGCTACCCACTCGTACCACACCTACCCAGCTACCCACCCAGCCACCCACTCGTACCACACCTACCCAGCCACCCACTCGTACCACACCTACCCAGCCACCCACCCAGCCACCCACTCGTACCACACCTACCCAGCCACCCACTCGTACCACACCTACCCAGCCACCCACTCGTACCACACCTACCCAGCCACCCACCCAGCCACCCACTCGTACCACACCTACCCAGCCACCCACTCGTACCACTCCCACCCAGCTACCCACCCACC